TGTAAGTCAATGCATTAATCGGATTATTTTTGCTAAGGCGACTCACCGCGTTTTGACGTGTTATGGCAAGAACGCAAAATGCCAAACGGGCAGAATGTCAGATTAGCAGAATTTCAGATTCTCAGAATGCCATATTCTCAAAATGCCAAATGTCGCTGCCAGGAACAGGCATCCGTCCTTTAGTTACTTAAAGTCCAGTAGTGGACGTCATTTGCCTGAAATAATGAACGGTTCGGATGTCTTATTTATTTATTAAAAACAAAAAGTAGTTTCGTTTAACTGAGAATCTGGCATTTGGCTAATCTGGCATTCTGTTAATCTGACATTCAGCCGGTTTGGCATTTTTCGTTTCTGGCATAAAGCATCAAAACGTGGAGAAGAAGCGGATAGAACTGTTTCGCTAGATCAAATGGTTTAGGTATTTACTATTAAATAACGGTCTCACAAAAAATGTACGATACACCTAAGGATATTGTTTAAAGAATGTATTACACGATCCTATACTTATTCAATCATATAAAATCCTAAAAACAGGCCACAATAAAAATTAAAATCGAATTATTTAAGAATAAAATATCTGACTTTGTACATAATTTTTATACGGAGGTATTTCTCTTTAAGTACTACAGAGAACCTGCAAAATTTTGATTTTAACTGAAATCCTTTCAGTTATTAAATACACATTTATCTCAAAATTTGCAAATTGCCCAGCGGTTTAACGACACGCCGCGCTGCCCCATCAGTCGCCATCGGACGCTTGTCGACGTTGGATCTGTGTCAAATTTCGTCTGATCTTTCTTATTTTATTCATATTAATTTACAGCGCGCGGATTGCGGGACACGAAAGTCGACCTCCTAAAATCTAGCCTCGCGTCAAAGTACCTCGCTTTAATATAAAAATTTTATGTGATGGGTGTGTCTGTATGTGTGCGTGTGTCACTTTTGAAACTAACAAATAATCAGAACACTTAGGGCGTCTTTCCCTTGCCTCGATACGAAACAGCTATTACTTGAAAAGGGAAAGTACTTTAAATATTATAGATAGGATATTTTTGCTGAATTATTAAATTTTTATTGAATTTTATTATTTTTATGTCAATCTTTTTAAGCAAGCATATCATCGTGAGGTCCGCTGGTTCGTTCCGTGTCTTAGTTGGTATAGCGTCTGCCACGGTATGCTAGAAGACGTCGGTTCGAATACGGCCGGATTGAAGGATTTTTTTCTGAGTGTTCGATTTTTGTATTAATCAGAATATATAATTTATTAAATTCTGAAACGCCAGAATATATTATCGGTGTTTTGTAGACAGGGCGAAAGCGCCATTTCGGAAAATGTTTCAGGGGAGCATGTTTCAGTTTTTCACGACTGTTTTGAAAAAAAAAATTACGGCCTATTTTAAATTCTATTTTTAAAATTGAATTTTAAAACAGGACGTAAATATTGTAAGGGTTTTTCTTAAGTCACTACCGAACATCATTGCACCTGCACATTTTTTGCTAGCTTTGTTTACAATTTTATAATTTATTTATATTCTATAAATAATAGTTTTAGTGAGCTGTTTAAGGAACATTATTCCTTCGTTAAATGATATTCCTTTTTAATATTACTTATATGGTGTTAACAAATAATTCTGCTACATTTTATCTTAGCAAAGAATGAAAAAAATCGTTCATTAAAAACCGACGTACAAAATATTACTAATCAAAATATAAAAGTTACAAAAATAACACATTAAAGAGTCTTATTTAGTTTTAAAAATAACTAAAATTAAATTCGATACAATTTCTTTTTTTTAAATTAAAATAAAACTTCAGTTCAACATTAAACATCAGTTTTATGCTACAATTTTTATATGTATAATTTACATAAAACAATAAAATAACACATTTTAATATAAAATTGCGAAACAGAAATTAAAATAGATTTCTTAAGTAGTGCCGTTGTAACAGGTACATTGATAAATCGTATGGCCCCAAAATTGTTCTAAATTACAATTAACACAAATTACACAACAATAAAACAATGTTTTAAAAATAAACATCACAAGTTGAGTCAACAAGTCGTTGGATGGATAAAAAATATCACAATGAATACTTACTAGAGTTAAATAAATCAACATTATTGCATTTTTAGGCAGTTCCATGTTACACACTCAATAATAAAATGACGAAATTAATAATAAAAAATAACGAGTGTTATAAATCTAACACATTGCACATAACAACTACCATAGTACTATCTCAAACATTGCATTATATTATATTTTATGTCAAAAATGAATGTCATTCGTATACGATTTAATTTCAGAGAGACAACTGTATTTTTTGGGGGCCAATGTTCGTCAGTGGATGGCTTTTGGCTGAAATAATGTTGATTGTCGTGGCTTTGGTATATAATAAGGCTAAATGGGATCGTACGTCAATAGTACTTTTTAACCGACTTCAATAAAAGGACGAGGTTCACAATTTGACTGTTTTTTTTATATGTATGTTACGCGATAACTCCGGCTCCGCATGAACCGACTTTGATGACTATTTTTTTGTTGGAAAGAGGTTGAACTCTATCAGTGGTCCCATTTAAATTTGAAGGAAATATTCCAGCTCTAAGAGTGGCAAACTAAGGGATGAATCCGGTATCGCGCACTTTCCGGTAACCGATTGATTTCAACATAAACTCAGTACAGTGTACTAAAAAACCGACCTCCAAAGTAATTCATCCCCTAGTTTGCCACCCTTAGAAGTGGAGTATTTTCTTAAAAATTTAAATAGGACCACTACTGAGGTACCCTCTTTCAAAAAAAATTATAAAATTAGGTTCACAAATTATATGGCATATATATATATATATATATACGAATTTCGACTACGAATTGACTACCTCCTCCTTTTTTTGAAGTCGGTTAAAAACTTGGCAAATAGTTGTAATTCCACGAACTTTTGAGGTCGGTTTTTTTTTAATAAGGTACGGACAACGGCGCACCAGACTACACATTTTTGTTCGAAAATCGCCTCCAGTGCAACAGAACAAGATACGTCAATGTGTAGCTTGATGTGCTGGCGTGTGTGTAATTATATCATTATGAAAGTTATAAAACAATACAAAATACGCTAAACAAATGATGCGTATTAGGTAATATTTTATACTCTCCTATTGAAGCATAAAAAAGTAGTCCTGATAAGTTGTAATTTTACAGATGTAGCTTTATTACAGCAAGGGAGCGATATTTTATATTATTTACACATTGACTTATAAATAAATGGACGACGGGTCTAATACAAAAACCTCGAAAAAAATGTCCCAAGTCAACCTATTTAAACGTAGTGACATGTAAAGGAATATGAAAAAGCTAAAACGTTGAATTTAAATTGTAATGTCATCGCAGTACTGTCTAATTTTGCTTGCTTCGCTGTCAGTCGAACAAACGAAGACTAAAGCGCGAATGACGCTCTGTATACGATTTTAACGCCCTATAAGTTCGGACACTTTTTAGCGCGGACCCGACGTCCATATAATTGTAAGTCAATGTATTTACATATTATATTTAGCATCAAGCATTGCACTTTTTTTAAATATATTTCGTCTGTAATAATATTACTTTTTAACCGACTTAAAAAAAGGAGGAGGTTCTTAATTCGACCGTATGTTTTGTACGTAAGATACGCGTCTGTTTTTTGTGAACCGATTTTGATGATTCTTTTTTTATTGGATTGGGTACCTCAGTTGTGGTCCCATTTAAATATGAAGAAAATTGTCCACCTTTAACAGTTGGAAACTAGGGGATGAATGACTTTTGAGGACGGTTTTTTTTTAGTACTCTGTACTGTTTTTTGCATTTCATCATTTCATTATTGAGGGTGCCCATATTATAAAAACCACTAGGCCTTGTACGGCTAGCACGATAAGACGCGACTTGCGTGGTAGTGACATAAAGTGCGAGATCTCCATGCGAGAATACAAGTGTCTCGCGCTTTATGTCGCTCTCGCGCTAGTCGCGCCCTATAGTGCCAGCTCTGCTGGGATGGCGGCGGAAGAAAACTTCTTCACAATTCCGCAAACGCCCGGACCCAAACTCTTAAACTTCAAAATCGTAGAAATACGTTACGTGGCAGTACCATAGGAGCACATCATTTATTTATAATATCTTCTGCTGTCCATGAGTATTCCAATGTCGTGACATTTCAAAACGGAGTAAGTAGAATTTAAATAAATCTAGCCTTTAGTGCCTTAACCATGAATTTTCAATGTCGATAGTCCCTAACGTCATGAAAAAAATAGTCCGGTATTCCACAAATTGTTCCTAAGATAACGTACTATCTGTTTGGGGCTATGTCGTTTCATTTGAACAGAAATTAGAAGCAAAGAAAGAATACCAATTTCATGCTAAAATTTTAGCTACTATCAACTAGCAAACTCATGTTTAGAGCTACCGCACACTAGCCCACACCGGTGGCGACAACAAGTCGGAGCCACTGGTGGGCAACCTGTCAACGCAGCACTAGTGGCTGTTCGTGACCACTAGTTGTAGACACTGGTGACTGGACGTATCCATTACCATCTACTTTACTAAAATTTGAAATAATATAGTCACTAGACGCAGTCACTAGTAGCAGTACGCGGCCACTAGCCTTTGCCACTAGTGGCGTGACGGGTGTCCATTTGCGTCCACATTGTTAAAATTTAGGATATATTTAATTGAAGGCACAGCTCCTCCCAAAATTCGGTGACAATGAGGAATAAATGAGGCTATCAACGCAAAAGTGCAACCCACATGATATTTCTACAACGTTTCTTTGAATGATACTAACACATAAATATGTAATTATTTTATATATGGCTGCCATTTTCATGTATAAAAATTAAATTAATAATTATCTATTTTCTATTCATGATAATAGCATCTGAATACAAAATAATTATAGTACCATTTAAAATAATACAGTAGAAAAAAAGATAGAATGTGGGTTACATCATTATTGCGCTGATAGCATCAAATGTGACTTCAAGTCCCAGGTAGTGGAGCGTGATCCATCATGTCCATGCACGATCATAGCACAGGATCGCCGTCAGTGGTTGCGTGTACGCAGGTGGCGGGTAACGAGCGCTGACCACCAATCAATATCATAAAAAAAGTAAGAAAAACCTCGTCCGCAGCTTGTGGTGGCCACTAGTGGCATTGCTGTGGTCATCTTTGATGGCCCAATAGGCAACAGGACATGTACTATACTTTCGTAATTGGATGGCCAGATGTTACTACTGTACGCAGATACATCACTACGGCATACAACAATTGCCTCTACAAAATACAACTATACAATATTCACAGGAACTACATTATTCAAGACATACAATTATACAAAATTATATAATATATGGAGTATTCATAGATTTGCAACACTGTAGTTTTACCTAAAAGAACAAAATTTCATGTGTTTTACAATGTTTGAATGTATCATGACTCGTTTTCTGATAAATACTATTAAGTAATAAATGATATAGCCTACCATTGGATTTTACCATTACGAGATATGCTTAATTTGTTTCTGATTTTATATGTGCAATAAAAATATTGCACTTTCACGAAGACTGACGCATAACAAGTTTCCTAAAACATGAGGTTTCACTGTTCTCCATAGTTAAAATAGGCAGCTATGAAACACAAATATAGACTAGCTTCTCTATACATAAAGGGCAACACTCATTTAGGCCGAATTTTCTCGTAAAAGAACACTTGCTCAACACTATTAGTTTCCCGCAATAAAATTTTTTTCTTAACAAATTTAAAATGTTCTAATGCAAACTCGTAAAGTTCATTCTCCATCCTCCAAATGGGTGATTGTTTAATTTTCTCTATGGTTTGTTGGTTTGGCTCTATTTTTGCACTTGTCTGTCTTAAATGAGACTTGTTGCTGTTAAGGTAATGCTCAGTTGCACCTTTAAACATCCGTGGTAACACGGTTTCGAGTATTGTGATGAATTCTAACATTTCCTCTGTAACTCCGACTACAAGATAATTATTGACTAGGTTATATTTTGCTTGCTGTAGCGCCCAGAGGTTCCCTGGTTTCCTGTGGAAAATTAAATTTGTATGAATTAAGGTTTAAAAATTATAAATAAACTATAAAAGAATCAAGTTTTACCCGCATTCTAATATAATAACAAACAACATGACACAGGTGCTAACTATAAGCGCAACCATGGATGTACTTACAAACTACGCCCACTACTATACTCATCGAGTATATAACCAGAAACAGAGATGAAATGTCATTTAATTTGTTTGAAAACTATTCTGCCAAAATATTACGAACACAACTGTTCTCTGATTGGCCAGCATGAAATCGAAAGAATTGAAGGGTGTCAATTGTTTCACTTAAAATCGACCAGTTTAACTTGAGCTTCGCTATAATGGACGACAATTGAACAAAAGAAAAAAGAGCCTTATCCCGTTCACGGACAGTACTTAGATAGTATCATCGCACACAACAATGTCACTACTTTTCTTTGTACCATAGTGCTTATAATGTTGATTCAATATAAAATACTCCACTCAATAAATCGAATAAGAAACACTTTCACGTATATTACGAAGATTTCGACTTGATATCTCATCACATTTTCCAACAAAATTTATTTGAATAACATTGTAAAATTGTATTTAATAATAATAATAATTTCTGTGGCGTGTCGCTTCCAGCACAAATGCAGAAGGCGGTCCTGCTCGATACGGCACGTATCGTTCGCCGATTCTTGGACCTGAGTCCCTGACCCCGGCCGACTGTGCCATAGCCGGGAAATACCGCCTCTCCCATTTAAAAATTCACAATTAGTCTTTTAGGCCTTGGGAGAGGCGAGAGTTTAAAATAAACATAATAATAATAATAATAGTAACGCATACACTCAACATAGCCCCGCACTAGGGAAACCCTGTGTCGCGGGTGCCATGGACACATACATAGAGAAAAACAAATTACACCCAAACTCAAAAGAGAAATAAACGTAGGCCATACAAATATTTCTCCCGGCCCAGGAATCGAAGCTAGGACCTCTGCGTGGCAGTCCGGCATGGTAACCGTTCGGCCACAGAGGCAGTTTTGAAAAATGGTAGTCCAAAAGTGAGGTTATTTTTCATCTATACATCTATGGCTTGTCTATGGTCGCATAGTGCAGGACGAAAAAAACATTCAGTTCATTCAATTAAAGTTTTTTAACCAATTAGTAACTCGAATATTTCAATCGCAAATAAACGAGTATCTATGTGTAAGGAATTTAATAGGACTTAAAATTAAGTTTTCGGAAATTTTAAATATGCTTATATAGGTTATGTAAGGTAAAACCGCTAGTATGACTAAATTGAAGAAATCGATTCATTCAGTTAATTAATAAATTTGTAGTTGGCATTACAATTGACAATCACTAAACCGTCTATGGTCAGGTCAATGACTTGTTTGTTTACATTTTATTAAAAATGGATTGAAACGAAGTATAGTAATCATTAGAACGTCGTAACATTCAGAATTCAGACGTCTTTCACAATCTATTGATAAAATTGTTAACAAACACTACGACTATTTAAAATTATATAGAAACTGGCAACCCTGCAAATGTCATTTTACTCATCTTTAAAAAAGACTTTAAATCATTAAATATAGTTATAATAGTACATTGTTGATATTTCTCTCTGGAGAAGCAGTAGGCAGCAACTACACAGTAAGCACTTGGAAAGCGCACCATAAAGCCTGTAGTCGTTTGTTTTGAGAAATATAGGGAAATGGGGTAGTTATTATATTCTGATATTTAACTATACAGTAAGCAACGTTACTTTACCAGCACTGTGCGGCATGGCCACAAAAGAAAGGGACTTGCATCCACATGTTGTTGGGGTCACAGTCTGGCTGTCCTCTCTCTACACATTCATCAAAAGTCTGCAACATTACACAAATATTATTAATTTTTTGTCATGAAGAATGCTACGCTAAAGTCTGATTTTTTTACTTATGGTTAAACTTTTATAATAATTTTAGAATACAAATGAATAATGTTATAACTATAATTAGAGCTATGAATACTGTAATTTTGAAATAAATATAATTTCCAATAAATATTCTCACATAGATTCTTTTGTTTCCTTGCTACATTCGTTTACTTTAAATTAATTAAATTCTACTTTGTTATTTCGTCATGAACAAAAAAAATTGTAAAAAGACTGTCAAATTCTGACTTAAGAGTAAAACAATATATAAACAATATTACAATCTTTGAATGAATTAATTATTTTTATATAACCATTAATTTATAACTACTTGTTATTTTATAAAAGATTTCCCAAAAAGATACCTAAAATACAGGTTACTTAGTTTAGGCATCACAATTACAAATGGTTCCCTTATTAATCCTTGTTGCTATAATAGCTTTATTTACATTTGTTTTCTTTGTATTGTATTAGATTAAGTTATGTTGAAATAAATTTATCTTTATCTTTAATTGATTTTAAAATCACATATAACAAATACTTTACTTTTAATTATAACTGATAGTCTCACCATTTTATCTCCATGTTTTTTCCTTACAAGATGTGGTCTAAAGTTGTCACCATTCCGTAAGAAGTAATAATAAGAGACCAAGCGGTCCAAAGGCTTTCTTATCAGGTTTACAAATATTGGTTTTGATTTAACTCCAAGACTGAAATATAAGAAAAGTGTAATATTTAAAATTACTACCAAATCTATAACTGTGTGAAGTAATAGTGCATAAATGTGTATTTATTTATTCATTCATTTACCTACTATACTATATAATTTACTTAAAATATCTTACATAAAATTGTTTTTGTTTATTAGAATATAAATTTTAAATCTATTATATTGAAGAATATACTCCTCATAAAGCCTCTTCGCGATGCTGAATGTAAGAGTGGGGGAAGGATAGTAAAAATCATAGTGGAGGAGGTGATGGAGGTTTGTCAGGAATGTAGCAGATGGAGGTCCATAATCTCTGACTACCCTTGTGGCAGACAGGCATGATTAGATGTATTTTTACACTGATATACTTTTAGTGTCTCAATATACATTTTTTTTTTTAATGGCAACTAAAGCTACCTACATAATAAACTTGTTTAAGGAATTGAAGTAGGTGGATTATATTTAAATAAGACTGGTATTATGACTGTAGCATCACAGTACATTTACTCAAATATTTTATATGCCCGTAAAAATATACATAATTTCAATAAGAAAGAAGATATCCATAATATTTACCTTAGAGCTAAGTCCAAACTCATGGTGCCATGATTTCGTTTAACCAAGGTAAACAACTCTTTTATGGGGAACTGTATACATTTTTACAATATGATTCCGGAGCATATATTAAATTTATCATTTCCTAAGTTTAAAAACTACATTAAAAATATTTTGATCAAAAAATCATATTACAAAATTGAAGACTATGTGTTAGATAAAGATGTATGGAAAGACGACATGGCTCCATAATCCACACAAATTTGATTCAAAGTGTATTCCATAGCATTTAAGTTTATTTGAAAAGAGCAATCCCTAGAGTTTCTTGCTCGTTCTTCTCAGGGAGGTCAGCGTAGTGAAATAGCAGTAGCTTAAATGTGACGTTTTCAAGTGTAAATTTATTTTACCTATGGAATAAATAATCTTTGACTTTGACTTTGAACAACACTGTAAAATTTAGTGTTTTAGGAAATAAATTGAAAAAAATGTATTAGGACACACTAAAGGCATACCAGTGTAAGATACACATACATATCATCATGCCTGTCTCCCACTGAGGTAGGAAGAGACCATGAGCCTCCTGCTACACTCCTGACAAACCTCCTTCACCTCCTCCTCTCTCATCTTTACTATCCTTCCTCTCACATTCAGTGTAGCAAATTGGCTTTCCATAAAACATATATAAGATAATTTTATATAAGATGTTTTAAGTAAATTATGTAGTGTAGTATGTCAAGCAATACTCACTTGTTAAAGTTTAGAAATGCCATATGGCCATGATAGAGTGCTGGCTTCACGTCATTCCACTTCGTTATATTCTGAGCAAACTTATACTGGTTGCTGAGCGAGAGAACATGCATATTAGCTGTAACATTTATATGAAGCACTTTAAACTTATTTTTCTTGCATAAATCATAGGCCACGCCAACGAAACTTGTTGAACCAGTCTTTGGGACCCTGTTGTAGATCACCACTAGATCATCGTCACCTCTTGCCGTCGGTTTAGGGAAGAATTGACGAGAGTCAAAGTGCGCTACAGTTTGTTTGTATTCTGGAAAAATACACCCAATTAATTGGTTGCATTATGTTCGTAGGTGACACATTTCATAGTAAAACATGTTTAGCTTACCTAGTCTTCTAAAACTATCCTCTAAACGAGCTATTTGCGATTGATAATACAAAACAATGATAACAATAATACAAAGGCAAGAAAACAACCATAGTTTGTGTACGTTCAACATGTCTACTGGAGACTATTGCCCGCTGGGACGATCACTGACATGATTAACACGCGTGCAATATAAATAAAACATTCGTTTTCACTATTTAGGACGCCCACACGAGAAAATAAATAGTTCACCGACCGAGAAATCACCGTAACAATAATGTCACAGTGACAGGTAAAACGTTTTGTCGTTCAGCTCGATATGAGTTGACACTTGAAGCATTAGTTTATTTTGCGTTTAGTTTACGTTTTATAAAAATTAAATTTGAAATAGAATCAAGCTTACTTTTAAGTACTTAAGTTACAGAGTCACAAAAAAATTACCATATTTTGTTTTCTTTTCTTTATTGTTTTTTCCAAATAGGTACAAACATATATCAACGAAGTTACACAATCATTAATGACAAATACATTAGAGCAATGCCACACGGGCGTTGAGTGGTTGCAACGCTATTATTAAATTGTACTAACTTGCTTGCGGTGCGCGGTGTAGTGCGCCGTTTCAACGCACCAATGTGGCATGCCGTTCATATTTCGAGTCTATCTATACAACCTCGAATGACTTTGGTTGATTCCGCATAACAGTGAAAGTGTTGAATCAATCACTTCGGAAAAATATATAATAAAATTGAGGATATGCATTGATACTACACGCTGTGAAAACACGATTTCTAAAAATTTACACAATTGAAAAAAAACACAAACTTACCTCGAAATTTTACAAGAAAACAGCTGTATTCAATAGATACTATAAATAATGTACCAATGATTTTTTTTATATCAACGGAACTAAATAGAACACGTGTCGTGTACTATACGATATACATTTTTCAAATTACTTTAATTTCGTTTGTAAAAAAATAAATTCTGAAATAAAGCCAGTATCTCTACCGTTCGACCCAAGCCAAAAACTGTAATTAGCACGGGAAAAATTAGAATTTGAGCTGAGGTCACAACGCAGTCACTGCGTTGCGGACTAGACATGGGGAATAGCGTTACATTTCTATCGCCGTGACTGTCGTTCATATAAAATACCAATTCTTCCTATAATAAAACAAATATACAAAAATATTTTACTTTGTTCATAAATAGGTTTATAATAACTGCTGCAGATTTTTTCGTATGTCGTGATGTAAGTGACGGGGATAGCTATTGGAACGGAGGATCACCTATGTGACTTTGGAACGTCGTTCCTTCGGAACGAGTCACGGTGATACTGTTTGCCGGCGGATCATCGTGATTTTTTCATCGTCACGTTATTTATCACCCACTTCCAACGCAGACGCGACGTAACGCATCGTGTGGCATCGCTCTTAATGTTTAGGTTCCGTCAATAATAGAACGAATGCGTATGGACCTGTTAAAAAATCCCTGAACATTTAATGATAATTAATCTTATCTCAACAACGTAAAGGTTCACTTTCAATTGTCAGGTTTCAATATCAATCAAAAGAGAAATAGAGACAAGATTTTAAAATGAAAGATACGTGTTTATTAATTGTTCAGATCGCAAGAAGCGTTGGAGTGGAATACTCTGCTCGCAGATTTGTTCCCTTAACTTACTATGTATAATACAGCCTATGCGCCCTTTCAAGGTGAATTTGGGCTTATCGAATTAAAAACCATGATCCGAATATCCGAATGTCTAGTTTCTGATAGAAGTCCGCCGCGATAAGTCGTAGCGCGCGAAAAATAGCGCTGACATTAGTTTTCGCGCCAAAGTGGGTCAACGCGCGCCCTATTTCAGACGACCGAAAACAATCGAATCGTTTTATTCAATTTATTCTTATTAAATTATGAAATGTCTCTCATTTGGTAATTCAATAACTGAGTTTATAGTGGTTTCTGTCAACGAACATTCATAATTTAATTTATTTTAGCTGTAACATTAATCGCCTTTTTTTTAAAATGTTGTCGTTACAAATTGTAGCGTCAAGTACCAACCTACAAAATTACATATTTGCGCGTCCATCAATTGGATCTTACGTAGATATCTTTACTTGTTTAATCTGCCTACATTTGAGCTAAACAAGTCACAGATACAGGCTGTTTATTGTTTCCTTCCCGATGCATGTACGGACGTATTTAAACTTTAATGTGATCTTGATTTGGATTGCACGTGTAAATTCGATGAACTGTTCCTTTGCGTAGTTACGAATAACAGCTTCGCTTGGAATGTAGTTATAAGACTTAAATTTACTATTATGCCTATTCTGTTTTTATTACTGGGTATTTTTAAGAGTATCATAAATAACCCTACACACACTTGCCATCAAACGTCTTACCTTAATATATTATTCGAGCTCTTAGGTTTTCGCAATTGTTACATATAGGAAATAAAACAATTTTTCCGGATTTAAATCGCGTATTGTTTAAACAAACCAACGTTTCGGGCCCTTAACAGGCCCCATGGTCACGGTTGATTCTGGAACCAAATATACGCGATTTAAATCCGGAAAAATAGTTTCATTTCCTATAAATATAATTTTATATAAAAAAAATATAAATCCCATCTGCGTAAAATTATTGTAAACAGTCATATTTAAAAAATTAACAACTAAAAATAATAAGGTTATTTTACGCTTGTTTAACAAAATTACCCTTCAAACTGGGGAAATGAATAATGACAGAGGGTTGAAGATAAAAATAAAATTATTGTAATAGGACGCATCCCTCAAATGTTAGGAAATTGGATGTGACAGGATGCTTGATTAGTTGCACCGTAACGTCATAGTCTTATTTATTTTTATTACATGGTTACGTTATATTTCTTACTAAATATATACATACGTTGGAAGTAAAAACATTTCAATTTCAAAGTTAGCTTAATTTTTTTTTTGGATAGCTATAATATTATACAGGGTGGATAAATCAATGGGATATGAAAGGATGATATAATTAAATATACGTATATAATCGTTTTTTAGTAGCAGTAGAGCTCCTTGTGTAAAAGTTCGTTCAGGGAAGTCCTGCCTTACCTATTTCTGCCACCAAGCAGTAACGTGAGCATTACTGCATTCCGGTTCTGGAGGGTAAGGGTTCTGGTGTTATTACAGGCACATGGAACTTGTACATTAATACCTCAGGGTGACGGACTCAGCCGCAGTGCCCCTTCGATCTTTGCGATTTAAAGCTCTGAGTGGCACTGGAAATGCCATGGGCTGGCGTGTCGCTTAGAACCAGGCGCACGACTTGTTCGTCCCGTCACTTGATACTATAAAAGAAAAGCTTAAAAAGGATAACAAAGGATAAAGTCAAAATAACTTAAATTAAAAATTAAATCGTGTGAAATGTGTGACACCAAAACCAGCCTTTTTTAAAAAAATACTATTGTAAATGACAAGAACTATCCCTCAAATATCTTGCTGGCGTGTTGGCGTCACCCTATATGTATTATACATAGGGAGTAAGCTAATTGACTGCAAAACTTTAAAGTGGTTGTAATTTATAAAATTTGAAAAGAATGTAATTTACTTTCTCATAACAATCTCTCAATCAATGTAGCAATTTGGTATAAATGAAATTGCAATATAAATAAATTCACTATTTATTCAAATTCTTTACTTCTGAGCAGTTTGGATTGTGTAAAATCAACTGTGTAACCTAGCGACTTTTTAGGTGTTCGCTATAGGAACACATAGGAAATGAAACTATTTTTCCGGATTTTAATCCCGTACGTATATTTGTCTGCAGTCTGCGAGCATGTCATGGATAAACCTACACATTCAATCAAGTTTGAAGTACCCCAGGTCCTTGCAAAAAAGTCCGATATCTACCCAGGATGCTGCGAGAGGCCATTCTAATTTCAATAGGGCAGATGGTTTCTCCGTACCACCAGTTTGGGATCCAATATTTCCTTTCATGAAAAATCCCAAACAGACATAGACTGCAGTACTAATTAATATGTTATAATTTATTCTAAATTCCGTAATTAATTAATAATAAATTTTATTTAATAAAAAAATTACACTGTTAAAATATGACTTTACCATCTCAGTCAACCGTGACCATGGGACCTGTAAAATGCCTGAAAAGTTGGTTTGTTTGAAAAAACAAATATACACGTTTAAATCTGGAAAAATAGTTTCATTTCCAACTGTGTAACTTTAACGTTAACTTGCTAAGAATTATGAGACAATAAATACTCCACTTCGGAAGTGCAATAATAATAACTATTGATGTACAATACATTAATTTACGCAAAACAAGCTCAGTCCAGCACAATTCAGTCTCACATCGTTGTTCATTACGAGAGCACGTTTATTTTTATCACCCGTTTGCCCTTCGAGATCGGGAAACATTGAAACACTGCTCATGTAAAAAAAATCACTTTCGTTAACAAAACTACTTGTTTCATTCTAATAAAATTGTAAAATAAAAACCATTATAACAAAATCAAATATCCCGTACTCTATTGCCATATACACTTTACATTAAAAATCCAAAACTAAATATTAAAAAATAAGCATTTAAAAAAGAACACAAATTTAAAAAAAGAAACTAAATTAAAGAAATATGGAAGTGGATAGAATTCTTTACATTTTCGGCAGTTTCACCCGGAAGAAAGACAAAAGAAAATCGATAGAACAATCTTCGATAAGCGCGGGAAACAGTCCTTTGCGGATACCGCGAAATCGACCAGCCAGCCAGACATATCCAAACCTCGCCATAGCGCCAAGGACTTCAGCTTACGGAGACACGAAAAAAAGCAGGGAGATTAAAGAATGGGAGTGTGGTCTCTGCAAGAAAGAGTTGGTGGAGCCGCGATTGTTAGGATGCTTGCACAGTTTTTGCACACGATGTCTTCAAGGGTTGCATCAGGAAGGGGAAGCGGAGGTGTGGAGTGAAGTTGATGGAGGTTAGTGGAGTACATTTTTCCTGACTATAATTAAAAAATCAATTAATTGAAAATATGTTTAGACTATGCTTTCCAAATTTGAAATTTTTAAGAACTCTAGGTTTTTTTTAATTCGCATTGCCAACATTTTATAGCCATTTCTCAAATAATAAATTTGTAATTTTAATTATGTACGTGCTATATAATATAAGTATAAACAGGTCTTGTCTAATCTAGTTTTGATATGACCATTAAATGTCGCCAAGTTTCATTTTATACTGGAAATATATACTGTATGTACTTATAACCGACGCTTTGGCGTTACAAAAACATTCGTACTCTTGGTGTAATAAGGCCACATCTGCAAAATGACAACATATCAGGAAACGGAACATTTAAAAAAAGATAGGGTAGAGTTGCGAATCTCCACCTTTATTGAAGTCGTATAAAAATACCACCATCTAAGTATAAATAAGAATGTTATTAATTTTTCATAAGACATTCTAACGATCTATTAAAATTAAAGTCTTGGGTTGGAATCTGTTCTAATGGTGTACCTAAATGACCAATATAATCGGACACTTTTTACAATCCCTAAGTTCGAAAATGCTTAACAATATAAAGGTACCATGGGGGTTTCCATAAATTGGTTTGTGTTGAACATTAAAACATGTTTTATAGTGGTTGGTTTAACATGTGTAAGAGTCGTTAACACGATTTGATGGGCTGTTAATAGGTCAATACGACGCATGATTAAGAAATCAATGCCCAGCATTCTTTGGAAAACTTTTCAGATGTTACACAATAGGCACAGCGGTTTAATGGTTTTTACAGTGCATGGTGTTCTCCAAAGGAGAACGTGTGACTACGCCACTTCTCAGTCTGCTGATCTCAGCTGCATGAAGTCGGTTTCGACTTCACGCATTCTGTTAGCAGCCTTATAATTCGCATCCTCGTTGTAAACACTGACACTGGTCAGAGCATTAGTAATTTGTTTGCAGAGTACTTTGTTTCTTCTTTCTTAGTGACAGGCCAACCTTCGGGTCAGGCTGTAAACATAAACTCGTATATAAGCGATATCACTTGATTTAACTAAATCTGGTGGATCTGATCTTATTCCTTCTCTTTTTGTTATCAAATGCGCCGAGATTTTGACCATACCATAACGTTTATTATTCGAGAGGTCACTGTCTGAGGGAAATTTTAAGCGTCTAAGGGTCGTATTCCAGAACTCTACTCAATGCTCAAGTCAGGATTTGAGTGTGATAGCAAGCACTGGAAATACGACCCTAATGGCAAGGACTTGAGTATGATTTTCAGTGCTCACTGCAATACTCAAGTCCTGACTTGAGTATTGAGTGGAGTTCTGGAATACGACCCTTAGACATGTAGCTGAACCGCGTATATTAAAAATGGTGTACCTTGCATTGTGTCAATCTTTACTGGTTTACTGCATAACATCAGGGGGTGGTTCATCTAAAACTCACATGCTTAGGATCGAGCGCGCTCAGAGAGCAGTTTTAAAGGTATGTACGTTCAAACCTTTTCGTTTTCCAACAAGAGCTTTATATGAATATTGTGAAGTGCTCACAGTACGCTAGCTCTTTGTTCTCCAAACCATACTACGACCACACACTGCCCCTCCCAGTATATATTTTTCTTCATTGCAATACGGTAGACGTGTGAATGTCATTCCCCGAAGAGTTATCTGCAAAATTTCTTTCAGCCAAAAGTTCTTTTTCGTTTCATCTTAAAAATAAATATGAGTGTAAGAATATGATAACCTAAAACTGTCATATGAAGAAACAGAAAATCTTCTTCATGCTGCTCAATGAAGTATTTTTCACATCAAATACGCACTTCTTTTCCATTAGGCACGCAAGTCACACACCCGCAACACACACACGCACGCACGCACGCACGCACGCACGCACGCACGCACGCACGCACGTACGCACGCCCGCCCGCCACCTACTTTTGCCGTCAAGCAGTAATGTTAGCATTACTGTGTGTGTTCCGATTTCGAAGGGTAAGGGTGCTGGTAAAGTTACAGGCACATGGGACTTATCAACTTATGTCTCAGGGTGACGGGCGCAGTAGCAGTGCCCCTCAGATCTTTGCGATTTCAAGCTCTGAGAGGCACTGCAACTGTTATGGACAGGCGTGTAGCTTACCATCAGGCGTCCGACTTGTTCGTCCCGTTAATTCATTTTATAAAAAAAAGGTAAGATAAAACCTTCAAAAAACAATGTACATCTACTTTCAAAAAACAAAAGACAATCCTTAACACACTTGCTTATAAAATCCTCAGGCAGAAGCCATAGCCCATAGGCAACAGTTGACAAGCCATGGAAGCCTTAGAAGTGCTTTCATTCCGCTAATCGGATCATTTAGCCACTATTGATTATCAAGTGAGGTTTGCAGGTTACCGTACAACGAAAATCTTCAGTCAACGTATGTAGGTCCAGTCATCTATATAACTTGTTTGAATGATAAATTCGTGTAATTGCTTTTATCACATCAAAGTCATAAAAATAATAAGAACTACATGAAACAAATTATGTATTGTGAAATTTTAGAATTCTCCCATTTAAACAAAAGTTACCGAAGAATTTCCTGAAAAGTTGTCATTTTGCAGATGTGGCTTTATAAAACCAATGAAGCCAAATTTGTTCCAAATTGTTCTAATATTTTAAGATGTTAATTAACAATAACACATTTTTCTAACACCTATTGCGTACCTCAAAGATGGTACATTTTTAATACCAAAAACATTCGAAGTATATTTAGTACCAGTATGTAGAGCACCTTGACAAAGAATTCGTCCAGGGAAGTACTGCCACCTTACCTATTTCTGCCGTCAAGGAGTAAGGTGAGCATTACTTGGAAGGGAAGGGTGAGGGTGAGGTGAAATTACAGGCACTTAGGCCCTTTTTATGGTACCAAGTGAGAGGACGAACAAGTCGTGCGCCTGGTGGTAAGCGACACGCCTGTCCACACCAGTTACAGTGCCACTCAGTGATTTAAATCACAGAAATCTCAGACATAAGTGACTAAATTTGATTGTTTATTTTTACAAAAGTTGTATAAAATTTTACGTTCTGTGTTGTGGTACAAATAGTGAATTCTCGTTAAATTATTATATTAAGTTACGTCTACTATTATCATAGACAAACAGTAAACTGCTTCTTGAAACTCAGTGGTGCTATTATTCTATTCACATTTCATAAATTTAATTAAAAACATCACAAATCAATCTGATAATCATTAAGGAGAACAAAATACGTTCCCATTTGAAAATCTATTGGGTTGACTGTTACACCGGAACTTAGTTAATGTGCTCTAATTTTAGATACCACCCGGGATGACATGTATACAAACAAACAAACCTAATGCGTACAATTGTACAATACTACCAACATTGGGGATTGAATTGGAATGATGAAAGAGTCAGTCCACATAATTTAGGACATTTTACTAAACAAAACTAATATTGCAAATGTGAAAGTAACTTTGTTTATAATATTAGGTGACGGGACGAACCAGTCGGGCCCTGATGCTAACCGTAACGCCTATCCATAACAATTGCAGTCCCACTCAGAGCGTTTAATCGCAAACTGACAAGTCCCATGTGCCTGCAATGTCACCAGCATCCGTACCCTTCCAAACCGGAATGCAGTAATGCTCATATTACTGCTTGACGGCGGCAGAAATAGGTAAGGTGGCAGTAGTCTATCTGAATGGAGTTACTGTTTATTGACTATACTATAAGTTACTTCGGAACGTGAATAAAAGTTATGCCGCGGAAAATTTAATATGTAGGTATATAAAGTAGGTATAAAAGTTATACTTACCGATAGATAATGTGTACAGTACTGCCCTCCCTGCCATAACTAACCCGTAGTTAATAATAATGTAGGTGTACCTATATATTGTCATCTAAAGTTATTTTTTCTTTGAAAAATGTTACTCAACAACAACACTCATCATAGCCCCGCACTAGGGAAACCCTGAGTCGCGGGTGCCATGGACACACAAGTAGAACTACAAATTACACTCAAACTCACGAGAGAAATAAATGTAGGCCATACAACTATTTATCCCGGTCCGGAAATCGAACCTGGGACCTCTGCGTGGCAGTCCGGCAAGGTAACCGTTCGGCTACAGCGGCAGTTAATTTACTCAATAAAACAAAAACTAAATAAGGTCAAATGCGTACTTATATTTTATATAAAAAAAATCGATATATTCTAATAAGAAGCATAATATTAGAAAATTGAAAGCTACGTACATAGTAGCGGGAAAACTCCTTGTGAAAGAGTTCGTCCAGGGAAGTACTGCCACTTTATCTATTTCTGCCGCCAAGCAGTAATGTCAGAATAACTGTGTTATGGTTTTGAAGGATATGCTGGTGAAATTACAGGCACATGCCACTTATGCCGTCACATGATACTTGTCAACTTATGTCTCAAGGTGACGGGCAGTGGCAGTGCCCCTCAGATCTTTGCGATTTAAAGCTACGAGTGGCACTGCAACTGTTATGGACAGGCGTGTAGCTTACCATCAAACGCACGACTTGTTCATCCCGTCACTTGATATTATAAAAAAAAAAGTTAACATACAGTCTTCAATTTTGTGATATGACATTTATCTAACGATAAAGGTGTATGGAAAGACGGCATAAGTCTAGATTGTACATAAATATGGTCCAAAGCGTATTCCAAAGCATTTAAGTTTATTTGTGAAGAGCAATCGCTAGAGTTTCTTGCTCGTTCTTCTCAAGCAGTAGCTTCAAAATGTCATTTTCAAGTGTAACCTAAGAAATAAATGATTATTTGACTTTCATATCGAAAATAGCGTTGATGCTCTGTCATATTCTACGTCATGCAATATTAGCAAGTAAAATATTACCTAAGATAACTCTTAAGTAAACACAATCGGGTTCCTTGAATCAGACGAACAATAATACTTTGAGATTAAACAGTTTCAAGCACAGTCTGGTCTTTGTTTATTTATGTAGT